GGGGGGGGGGGGGGGGGGGGGGCGGGGAGGGGGGCAGGGATGTGACGCCCTTCCCTCTCTGTTCAGCCCCTGAGCCAGCCCCCCACTGACCACCCCTCCCCTGGCTCCATTGTCTCAGGCCTCATTCACTCCTGTCTAGGTCCCTTGGCCAGGGACACCTGTGAGTGGCCTCAGGCATGCCAAGGCCAGGGGACCTCAGACTGCCACCCACTTGGGAGGGGCCAGGCCCGGGCCGTGCCTGTGCGTGGGGAGAAGGCCCAGCAGGCGGGGGCGGGTCTCACCTAGCCAGTGCTCCCCCGTGAGCTGGCCGAAGCCCTCCCGGTACGCCTCCCAGCCCCGGAAGAAGTTCACGGAGCCATCCTCCCGGCGCTGGAACACCTGCAAGGCAACCGTGGGGTGAGAGCAGGCACCTGGCACCCAGGACCCCCGCCCCCCACTGCCCAGGCGCCCCTCGTCCTGCCCCTGGCTGGGGGCCTTGGGGGCTCAGGAGCCTGGCTCCAGGCCCACCCTGCCTTGCTGGGGGCTGGGCCTCAGTCTCACCCTGGCCAAGCAGAGGGGAGGGACAAGCCTGATACCTTTTTTTTTTTTTTAGTACTGGGGTTTGAACCCAGGGACCCCTAACCGCTGAGCCACCCCCAGCCCCCTTTATATTTTATTTTGAAGACAAGGTCTCACTAAGTTGCTGAGGCTGGCTTTAAACTCTCAGTCCTCCTGCCTCAGCCTCCTGAGCCGGGGGGCTCACAGGCGTGTGCCACTGGGCCAGCCCTGATATCTTTCTCCAGATCAAAACGAACAGGAACAGAGAGAACAAAGCCCATTCTGTGGTCAGATGGTGCCCCCCACCTGGAGCTCGCCTCCCCAGCACCGGCCGCAGCTCCCTGGGCCAGGATCCTTGGGGGCCTGGGAACCCCGAGCCCAGGGCTTCTCAGGGGAGGACGGCGAGGCCACGCAGGGCTGGCTGCGACCCGGGTACCACCAGCCCCCGCGCTGCCTCTGKTGTTTCTTTTAATAACATTCTTGGTTTGGGATCTGGAGTCCCACCGGTTAAATTGCTTTGAAATAAGGACTGCGCTGGCCCGGGCCGGAGCTGCCTGAGTGTTTACAAGATCGCTGACAGCCCTTCCGGCCCCTCTGCCTTTCTGTTTAACAAGCCTTTTCCTGCTCATTGGCAGAGGCAGCCCCCCGCCGCCCACCTGCCTCCATCTGTGCCCGCGGCTGACGTGTTAGAGATCTGTCGGTGGTGCCCGGGAGCTGCCAGTTTCATTACTAAGCAGCCTGATTTCAGTGGCTTGGAACTGCCCGAGCGCCAGGGCTGACCGCGGTCTCTAGGTGAGCAGCAGCCAGATGTGCTGGGTCCGTGGGGACGCCGCAGTCAGGGCGTCTGGGCTGCTCTGATGTCACAGAGTAGCGGGGGGAGAAGACACTGTCTTTTCTTGCTCCACTACCTCCAAGCTGGTCCAGCCCTGAAATTTCAAAGTCCTCAGGAGGGACCAGCTGGGGCGGAAGGAAATTCGATAAGGCTCAGAGAGATCTGAGGAGCGGCAGAGAGACTATCGATGGCTACAGATTGGGACCCTGAGCACGCGCCCTTTGAAAGGCCTAATCCTGGCAGAAGCTCAGGCGCTCCCCGGAGAAGGCGGCGGCGGCTGAGCCTGTTTCTGCCGGAGGGCGAGCTGAAGGGGCCCCCGGGAGGCCCTGCTGGCACCGGAGGTGACTGGGCCCTCAGTGCGCCCAGCACAGAAGGCGGCACGGGCCAGGCCGGGAGCGTGGCGGTTGAGGATCTGGGTTCTGGAGCCCTGGCTCTGCAGACGGCTGTGGCCAGCCACTCCACCGCCCCAAGCCTCCTCCTCTTCAAAACCAAGATCCTAGTAGGCCCCGCCCCGGCCAGATGACCGGCTGTGCTCAGGTCTGGCGTGAGCAGGTGCTCGGTGAAGGCCAGCTGGACGGTGGGCATTGGGGAGTACAGGCCTGGCCATGGCCTTCCTGTCCTCCCTCCTGCTGCCCCTGCCTTGGCCGGCCGCGCCCTTCCAGCCTCCAGCCCTCTATGGCCTTTTCCTCGCGGGGGCCCGCCATGAGCCCTTCACTCATGAGCAGGGCCATCAACCCTCTCCCTGCAGGTTTGGTGCCAGCCACACAACTGAGTCGGGCACGAGGTCGGGACCCTGCCCCCAGGCCCCGGGGCAGAAGAACAAAGGGGCAGGGTCTGTGCCCGGGGACCTCCCACCCAGGCCAGAAGCGGCCCAGGAAGAGAGCAGGTCTGCCCAGCGGGGCTCAGTCGCGGGGAGGAGTCCAAGCCCCAGGGCCCCCTCTGTCCCTACTCCCTGAGCCTCTGTCCCGACCCCCACCGCAGGGGGGTGAGACAGTAGGTACCATCACCGCCGCCTGCCAGCACTCCTCCTGCCTTTGCTCCTGGGGCTCACCACCTCTGCTGGGCCAGCTGACGTGCAGAGGGCAGGGCTCCTGGTCGGGGCTCCCCCAGTCCCACTGAAGGGGTGGAGACAGGGCAGTGCCGGGCGCTGGGCCAGCAAGGCCGCTTCTCCTGAGTCCTTCTCCCCAGATCCACGTTGCTCACCAGATCCCTCACCCGGCCCCGCCTGGGGCTCCATGTCCTCCCCCCCCCGCCCCTGTCACAGCAGACAGAAGCTGGGACACTCCTGTCTCGGTGGCCAGGCTGGCAGAGCAGGCAATGTCCCCCATGCCTCATGCCCGCAGCCCAGAGACAGGCTGAACCTGTGCCCTTGAGGCCAGCGCCTGAAGCAGGTGTCCACCATCACGTCCACTCCACCTGGCAGCACTGGCTGGGGCTCCGCCTGGCCCAAGCCTCGGGTGCCAAGAGCTGTCCTCAGCCCCTTCCCCCTGCCCTCTGAACTGGGTGCTGGTC